TCTCTTCTCTCTCTCTCTCTCTGAGGCTCCGCCCGAGGCCCAGTCTCTTCCTCCCCGCGCGCTTGGCGCTTCCCCCGGGAGGGCTGCCGTCCTGCCTCCCTGGCCGAGCAGCGGGGCCCTGAGGAGGGCCGGAGGTGTCCCCGAGGGAGCGACCGGGCGCCGCCAGTCGGCAGGGGAGGAGGCGGCGGCTCCCTTTGGGGAAGGAGGCCCTTCCAGGCCTGTTGGGGTGGGGGCTGGCCCTCGGGGAGAGGCGCCCTGGGCGCAGAGGCGCAGGTGGGGGAATGCATGCACCCACCTGCGTGCCCCCCCCGCAGAGTGGTGCCTTGTGGAAACACGGGGAGCGCAACACACACACACACACACCTGTACCCCTTCATGGATCGCTCCCTTGTCCTGGGGAAGGGGCTTGAGTCGTTCAGAGAACCTATGGGCTATGCTGTGCAGGGACACCCAAGACGGACAGGTCATAGTGGAGAGTTCTGACTAAACACAATCCACCTGGAGGAGGAACTGGCAAGTCACTTCAGTATCTTTGCCAAGAAAACCCCATGAACAGAAACAAAAAGCTAAAAGATATGATGCTGGAAGATGAGCCTCTTAGGTCGGAAGGTGTCCAACATGCTACTGAGAAAGAGTGGAGGAGAAGTACAAGTAACTCCAGAGCTTGGAGGGGGGGGAGGCCACGAGGGACCCCTCCCAGTACAGCCGGCTCAGCTGCCTGCCTCGGCCACCCTCCCTCCCATGGAGCATCCCCTCCACCTCTTCCCTCGGCCTTCAGCTGCTCTGTGTGTGTGTGTGTGTGTGTGTGTGTGTGTGTGTGTGTGTGTGTGTGTGTGTGTGTGTGTGTGTGTGTGTGTGCGCGCGCGCGCGCGCATGTCAAAATTCTCAGCTCCTGGACGGTGGGGAATGCCAACCCCTGCGCACCTCCTTGGGCATTTCGTGGGCAGGCCGGGCTCACGGGTGGCTCCAGAGTGCTCGGCTCCGGTGCGCAAGATCAGGACCATCCTGCGCCGCCCCGCTTCTGCTGGTTGCCCACACCTTCTCCTTGCCAATCCCCTGCGTTGTGGTGCAGCTGTTTTTCTCGCACAAACAGAGACCAGGCAAGCGAGATTCCTCCAGGGCCGGTGGTCTTGCAGGGGTGGCCTGTCCGGGGGACTTGAGTTTCTGCCTCCACGGAGGGGCCGGCCGGCCGGCCGTGGGCCGTGGCCCTCACAGCCAGCCGGCCATGACAGACATACAGGAGGAAGAGGAGGCCCAAGCCTAGGCTCTTCCCACCCCCACCCCACTGCTGCCCAGGACAGCAACCCCGAGGGCTCGGTCGGTAAAGGGCTGAGGCTGCCTGCCCGCCCATGCTGTTGTCCTGCCAGAGAGCCTGCCAACCGGTCAGCAGAGGCCCAGGGACTCTCTCTCTCTCTCTCTCTCTCTCTCTCTCTCTGTGTGTGTGTATTGGGAGCCGCCCCTCACTCCAGGACTGCTTATCTTTCTTGCAACCGAAGCAGCCTGG